CCTGTAAATATTATCTTTCATGAAGATTACGAATGGTATTATTAGATATCAATACTGTTGCTTAATCATGCAAACTGGCAGGATTTTGTCCAAATATTCCCCTTTGGTTGCTAATGACTGTGATAACATTTAAGCTTTATCAGGATTGCAGGAAACTGGACTTAAATGTAGTGATTAATTTTTATTAAAGTAGGACAGGACCCAAGGCAACTAACCTTTAAATTAAGGTGTCATAACACATAGCATTATTAGTGAGTGCCAACTATGAACCATATTTAATACAAAGGACATTATATTCTGCCTGGATGACGCTTGGAAACATATGATGGTGTGAGCAGAGAATTTTGCACAGCTAAAGGTGTGAACTCTCAATTCTCCAGCAGCTGATACTGTAGGTGCAAGTTTAATGCCAGTTTATATAATTTTGGATTTTGCAACCAACCCACCAACACAGTATTCAAAATCACTCTTCTCCCAGTCTCATAAAAATTGAAAATTTGCAGGAAAAAAATGGTTAAAATGTATATTGCATAAATGGATGAATAAATAATGTAGAAAAATGTGTTAGGGAAATATTTGCAGAAATTATGTACATCAGATAAATCTCTCTCTCTCTCTCTCTCTCTCTCTCTCTCTCTCTCTCTCTCTCTCTCTCTGTGTGTGTGTGTGTGTATAGAAGTATCTGTAGGTAAAAAGGTAAAGGTTCCCCTCACACATATGTGCTTTTTGTTCCTGATTCTAGGAGGCAGTGCTTATCTCCGTTTCTAAGCCGAAGAGCCAGCGCTGTCTGAACATGTCTCAATGGTCATGTGGCCAGAATGACTAAATGCCAAATGCACAAAGAAGGCTGTTATCTTCCCACCAAATGTGGTCCCTATTTTTCTACTTGCATTTTTACATGCATTCTTACTGCTAAGTTGGCAGAAGCTAGGACAAGTAATGGGAGCTAGGGATTCAAACCACCGAACTACTCACCTTTCTGATTGGCAAGTTTTTTAAAGATGAATTTTATACCCCATCCCAGTTCTCAGGATTAATAACCCCAACTTTGCAAAAATGAGAAACTGAGAAAAAACAAACCAAATTGAATCACTTCTTGTAACTTGTTTAGAAACACATATTATCTCTCGGGACAATTTATAGCCAATGTCATCATCACTATATGAGCCATTGGTAACCATATTTTTTATCTGCTTAATCCCTTTTTTACATCCATCTAAATGGGAAGCCTACACTAAATTCTTTTAACCGAGTGTTTTGTTAAAAAAACATGTTTTGCACTCCAGCTTCTACTAAGAAACAGAGGAAAAAATTACTAGCCACTGATAAGTTTTCAACCAAGAAAATGATAGATTCTGCTTCATATGAAGCCAGATTTCTTGTTCATGTGTTTATCTTCATAAATAGTCCAAAATAATACGAAACCAGCTTTTGGTTGACTAAGTAGGGGATTAAAAATTTGCTCAGTTTCTCAATAGTTTATATCTTATGAAGATGAAGAGTTAATTCAAGTTCTCAATAGTACAATTGCATATTTTTTCTAGTAAAGGTAGTCTTTGGCATACAACCATTCATTTAGTGATCATTTGAAGTTATAACAGCATTGAAAAAAATTGAATTCCAACCAGTCTTGGCACCATTGCAGCATTCTAATGGTCACATGATCAAAATTCAGTTGCTCGACTGCTGGCCTGTATTTATGATGGTTGCAGCATGCTGGCATCAAGTCATTGCCATTTGGGATCTTCCCAGATGGCTTCCAACAAGCAAAGTCAATGCGGGATGCTGGATTTGCTTAACAACTGAGTGATTCACTTAACTTTGCATGATTTGCTTAACAACTGTGGCAAAACAGATTATAAAACTGGGCCCAACTCACTTAACCACCATCTTATTTAGCATTGGAAATTCAGATCCAAAGTTGAGGGCTACCTATATCTCCTGGTAATTAATATCTAGGCCTTGTAATTAAAATTAACTTAGAAGGGCGCAGAGCTAGTACCATGACAATGTTTCAGAATTTCCCTCAGAATCACCACAGAATGCTGCCGATATAGAAAGCTGTCAAGACAGGAACCATGACATTATGAAATCTCTTCATAATACATATAAAAACTGGGGGCTGCCATATTACTTTTTTGGGGGGCTCACTTGCAGACATCCCTATGCCGGTGCCTCATTTCCATGCAATAGAAATGGAATATTTACATTATAGCAATAGCAATAACAGTTATATACCGCTTCATAGGGCTTTCAGCCCTCTCTAAGCAGTTTACAGTCAGCATATTGCCCCCACAGTCTGGGTCCTCATTTCACCCATCTCGGAAGGATGGAAGGCTGCGTCAACCTTGAGCTGGTGAGATTTGAACCGCTAAACTGCAGATAGCAGTCAGCTGAAGTGGCCTGCAGTACTGCACCCTAACCACTGCGCCACCTCGGCTCTGGAATGTAAATTGAATTTAGCTCCCATTTTGCGGACAACGAAGGCCCAGGATGTCATTCAAAGGATGGGTTCTGTCCACAACAGATAAATAAGCATGAAAGAAAGTGAAAGAAAATTATATTTGGAAAAGCAGTGTAAAGAAAACTAATTTTATGAAATTGTACAGGAACAGACCAGTTTAATCCTTTTGACGGCCTTGTGAAGGATTGACTTTAAAATGTCTTTCTCTGAAGGCTGGTCAGAAATATATATATTGATAGTCAGACAGACAGAAAAAGATGTGAAATGCTGGAGAAACAAAAGTGCTGAAAGATATTAGATGCTCACATTCCAACTTCCCATTTGTAATTGATTGCTAAAACATTTCCACCATTTTCTCCTGAGTACAATGAAAAACTATGTAAAGTGATACTTCTGGCTTGGAATAGCTTGGAAACACTAGGGAATTTTTACTTCCACCTACTCCCTCCCTCAAGGTTGTCTAGAAAGTTCAGCTACCTTTTCTTATCATAAAAAAATGAAGAGAGAAAGATTAATCAAATAAACGAAAGATTCCCTTGCCTCTATTTTCTTTGCCTCTTTCTTGAGAAAGAAAATATTTAAGACTGTTCTTGCTGGAGGGAACTTCATGAGATTTAAGTACAGCATTTTCTTACCACTGCCTTCCCCAACTTGGTGCCCTTCAGGGATAAGGTAAGATAAAATCTGGCTTGATTGCTCATGGGCATAGCCATGGAAGTTTCATGGAAACAATACTAAAATAGATTGTCATTGACTTCTTTCTGGACTTGTTAAAAACTTTTTTTTCTGCAAGATTCAATCCAGGTTGGTCACCAGGACCAGAGATTTAGTTTGAGATTATCTGATGGTGTTCTCAAAAAATCATATTGTGTGTATCATTAGCTTTTAGAAATTAATCAACAGCATTGCAAACAGAAATATAGCTAACCAATCTCTAGATACTGTGGGCTAGGATTTTTAAGTTCTCCAAAAGTTTGGAGACAACTAACTTATTGTGGATGTTATATTTACAATCCATAAAGCTGGAGAGTCAAACTTTATATTAATTTCAGCCCAGTTTAAAAAACTTTCAAAATGAATAGAAAATCTAAGTACGGAGAAAGAATACAGGAAAGAGAAAGTAGGAGCAAATCAGAGAAATCAAGAAACGAAAAGGAAGGAAGGAAGGAAGGAAGGAAGGAAGGAAGGAAGGAAGGAAGGAAGGAAGGAAGGAGCAATGGAATAGGTCACCCAGTCAAATTTCAATTAATACTTCTTTTTAGCTTTAGTTGATGCCGATCTGTGAGTTATGATAGACTCTTCTTGAGTTAAAATTATCATCAACAGGTAGTTAATGCCTTCTTGGGAACCAAAATGAAATATAAACTTCCAAAACTATTTGGAAGTATATCCTTCATATATGGGTGTTATTTTCTATTTCTGAGAAAGAAAGAATGGAAAAAAGCAAATGTTCAATATCTGAATAGAGCACCATGATTGATATTGTACTGAAACTAACTATGGCCTTATTTTAAAGCAAAGATTGCTTCTGTTTAAAGAGGACTCCTTGTTGCAATGTCTTGTTTTATACTCAAACAGAGAAGCTCCATGAATCAGATAATAGTACAGGCCAGAAAGTTGCCAAAAATAGTTGCTGGGTTCAGATTTCCAGTGGTGATGGGGCAACATAATAATTGTGAAAAAGATAAAGTCATGTCTCTTTCAAATAAGACTTGACATGGTCATATTCAGTTAACTTTATTGCCAAAAAATAAAAATGGTTTGCTATTATCATCTTGAGAGGTATCTTTCCAATTTTCCATTGTAGTCTATATAACAGGTATTCTCATCTAAGTAGTACTAACTAGATCAGGATCAGCCAAATCTGATTAGGTAATGCTATCTAGCTGAGTAATATCTCTGATGTAAGATCATAAAAGAGAATGTGCAACAGATTTAACCTCTTTTTTATAAAGGTGGTACAGTGGTTAAATGCAGTACTGCAGGCTACTTCAGCTGACTGCAGTTCTGCAGTTCAGCAGTTCTAATCTCACTGGCTCAAGGTTGACTCAGCCTTCCAGCCTTCCGAGGTGGGTGAAATGAGGACCCAGACTGTGGGGGTGATGTGCTGACTCTGTAAACCGCTTAGAGAGGGCTGAAAGCCCTATGAAGCGGTATATAAGTCTAACTGCTATTGCTATTGCTATTGCTATTGCTAATTGATGATTGTGGCAAGAGAAGATGAGAGGCATGGCAAAAAATATATTGCTGCCAGAGTATGATTGAAAATCATTAAACATGGAAAGTATAAGAAATTCAGTGCCTACAAATCAATGAAAACCAAAACGAAAACTAAGTTTCTAGTTTTAATTAGCACTCATGATCCCAATAATGATTACTTACAACTCCACGTAGAACGAAACTCACTGATAGCATTTGTAGAACACAGAGCAACTGGGGGATACTTTATGAAGCTCTTATATTCTACCCTAGACCTTTATTGTGATAATTTTGGTTTTATTGATGTATTTCTTTTTTTAAAAAAATTCTATTTTAGAGACATAAAGCCTGATAACGTCTTGCTGGATGAAGAGGGTAAGTGATAATTATATCTGTCTGCAGGAACATGTATATGCTTGCAACTGTATAGCAAAATATAATGTTTTCTGTAGGATCATGACAGACTTTATGAAGCCATCTTCTAGGGAGATGGAAAACAAGTTGAGGCAAACCTTTATCCTAGCTTGGGTGTTTTTGCTGACTAAAGATACAAATAACACATTTCTATGGATTTCTAAGTGTATCATAGGTTTTATTTTTTTAAAGATCAAGTAATCTGATAGTGCAGTCCAGCTACTGATCCAGTTAAGAGAGCTATACAATGTTCTGTTATTATTTTTGTGGAGCATGTTGGGTCATATTTTAAACCAAAGGCAATGTAATATTATACAATAAGAGATAGACAACATTACGTGTTTTGTTACTCTGCCACAGATGCTAGGAGGTTTAATAAGGCATATCCAATATATATTTCTTAGTAATTTAATACATTCAGTGGAACATAGTTTCAGGTAAATATGTATTGGATGACACACTTAATTCTACATAGTATGGTGATTAAGTATGGAAGTATTTTTCCTTTGAAAAATATTTAGGTTCTTCTGAAAAAGTTTCACAAAAGTGTTTTGTTTCATATCTTAGCATAATTTTATTGCCTGTTCTCCAGGCAAGAAAATTATATGATATAATATAATTATATTATATGATTATGATAAATGATATGCAGGAATAGTCTACTTTGTGATAACTAGTGTTTACACTAATTGTAAACTAATGTTTACAACTACTCAAAGAGTAGGAAACAACAATCCATTGGGACATTTGCATGCCCCAATGTTTTAATCAGCACTATTACTGTGACAATGTTGTGACCAAGGTATGGGATTAATGGGGACCATTGAAACCAGTATTTTTGCAAAGGCTTTCAATTTAATGCATTTTAGCTGGTTATTTTAAAATATATTTGGAATTACCTTTTCTCCATTTGTCCTTGAAACTGAGGTCATGCTAACTATTTCCTCTTTGCCATTTCTCTGTGTTTCACCAACCATGGCAAGAGAGGTGTGTAATTCCATTCATGTGTGCAAAAAGCCTTTTACCTATTGTTCAATTTTTCCCCCTGAGACATTGTTTTGCAGCCGATGTATCTATATTTAGACAGTTAAGACTGCTTTCTTTTCCAGTGGCTTTCCTTCCTTCCAGGATCATATTTCAAGCTCCAGTGCAATCTTCTCTAGCTTTGCTAAGTTTATGTGATGTGATTTCTAGGGTACTCACCACCAAAGTCTTATTAGCTGCAAAATTCAAGCATGTTGAGATTAAAATAAAACCATCATATTGGCGTTTAAGATGTTAAAAAGAAAGTTAAAATTTCCAATATATTAGGCATATTAGGCTGATTTAAAAAGCTGTGCTCTTAAAGCCTTCTTAAAAGCCTGTGCACAATGCAGTCTCGGTATTTCATTGAGAAGCCTCATCATGAAAAAAATCAGGCCTCACATAACAGACAGATAAACCAGTTGCTGTCAGAGATAGACATTCCCAAACAATTTGAATAGATAGTGGGAATTCTGCATCTATGATATGAGAGATGATTGGGCTAAGTCCATCAGGCGAGTAGAAACAATAGCAATGTTTTCCATCGTACAAGGGCAGCCCTACTTGGAGCACATTATAAAAAAAATCAAGTATTTCATTAGTAAATGGATGTCTGTTGTTACTTACAAGGAAAAAGGTGCTTTTAGCATACAAATTGAAATGAATTAGAAAGCAGTTCTGGCCACAGACTTCACCCAAGATACTAGCTACAGATCCACATTAAAAACAATTCCCATGCTACATATCTTTCCGGAAGGAAAGGTCTATAATGCTCTTTTCATCAGGCTCTTTTTCTGTATAACATATACCGAATGAATAAACTTTATGCTGAGCTAGTGGTTCAGATAGGAACAGATCAATATTCTCAAACTATTCCATGTGGTTGTCAAAATATGGCTTGGGATAATGATTAATCATTACAGATTAGTATGAGTATTGTGAGTGGCCTGGAAGGATGAGGATTTCCTATATCACTTTTTCTTTCTTAGGTTTTCTCTAAGGGTTCTGTATATGAAAAATTTTGCATTATGATTCCATAATGTTTTATGAAAAACTTTAAAGAATGAGAAGGCAACATATTTATTGTTTGTAATCCATATAAAATTCCTTGCTTCCCTCTGCTGTTATTATTATATTTCGTAGAAACTTTCAATAGACAATTTATCTTTTTATATCATTCTTAGGGCATGTTCATGTAACAGATTTCAATATTGCTACAGTGATAACTAACGATACACAGGTTACCAACATTGCTGGCACGAAACCATATATGGGTGAGTAAGTCAATGGATTCAAGCTAATGTATTTGCATGACATTGTTTTGTTTTTAATGGGCATGTTAAGCTTCCTTCTTAGTAACTACTAAAACAGTTTTAAGAAATAGAGCCTGATTCAGAAAATACTTCAAGATTGATCTGGCCTTACATGTGTTAAATTTGGAATGGCTTCAATGCTGCTAACTTTAAAGGTCCTTGCAATGGATGGCTGATCTGACCTCTGTTTACCTAAATGAAATCTTACAATTCGAATCCAAAACTATAGATAAAGTTCTTGGTTTCTTCATGTGAGTCATAATTGGATCACCCATCCACATTGATGTTAAGGTACAGATATTACTTTTGACAAGTTATACCAAATTATACTAACAGGACATCATAGTGACATTAATTGGATTTATTGATGCTTCCTCTCGAACCAACTGTTACTTCCTCTACTCTTGTTAGCTACTGAAGATTATAATCAACTCATCACATATTTTTAGAATCAAAAAAGTATTAATTACAGCTATTTTCTTCTCAATACACTTGCCAGCAATGTGGCAGAGGGAGCGGACCAGCACTAATACTAACCTTGGATTAAAACTAAATACCAGGGGTAGTCAACCTTTTTACACCTACCGCCCACTTTTGTATCTCTGTTAGTAGTAAAATTTTCTAACCGNTTGCTATTGCTATTGCTATTGCTAATTGTTTGGAAAAAATGGTGCTTATGTACTTCGCATTTAGTATATAAATTTCTGAATTCTTGGTATATGTAACAGTACTGTTACAAGTACAAAAGATAAACTTATTATTAACATGTCAGAACATGTTTACACACATACTCTTTCCATCTCATTCAATAATTCTAATTCAGTATTGTCCATAAACAGAATTTATTGGAGCATCTGAAAATTTTTAAAGTTCTAATATACAAGTTGATAATTTACAGTGAAATATGAACATTTTGCATTTAGAACAATAACTATGGTTAATGGACTCAGGCTTGGAGGATAAGTTTAAAATAAAATATCACACTCCATATTCAGGTTTGAACAGGATACTGAATTTAAACCATTTACAAAAGTTGTACATATGGAATCATAGTTTTAGTGTAATCTTGATTGATGAATTGTGTAATCTAGTCACTTTGAACTTCTAGTCACTTTTTCCATTAAGCATAATCTTAATGATTCAATAAAACAACATGATTTAGTTTTTTTATCACCTTGTTAATATATGCTTCCATTCTCTTCCTATAAAACCACAATTGCCTTAAAATCAAGGGATTATTAAATTTAAGAAATTAGAGTGATTACCAAGTTCTACTTGAAATGAAATTATCAGCAGCATTTGAATTTTGCTGCATTCTTATTCCTCAACACAGGAGAATCTGTTTGCAGTCAGAATCTGTATAACAAATCCGTGGTGCAGAGCAACTATGATTGAATGATTCTGGCATAAAAGAAAACATCAGCTTGCTTAAAAATAGCAATGCTAGCTAAGAAAATAAGAACCAAAGGTGGTGAGATGTCATTCATTCAGTTTAGTGAAGAGATAGAAGTTATTAAGCAGGAAAAGTCCAGCTTTATATGGCAGGTTTGGGAATTTTAAAAAAAGCAGCAGGTTTCAATTGAAGACTTATTAGGAAATATATCTGTGCGCCTTGCAAATTCCTTATAAATAAGTATGTTGAGGTCACACTTGGAATACCGTGTCTAGTTTTAAGAACTATATATCATTGTACAGAATATTGCAGAGCTGGAAAAGAAGCAAAAACATACAAACAATATATGAGGTAAGATTCTATTGCTAAGGAACTGTCAGAAGGTGCCTAAATTGGAATATTTGTGAAATTGATATAGTATCGTGTTGACAGAGTGGGGAATATCAATGTTTTTTTGCTGTCTCTCCTAATAATAATGTGTGAGACATCCAATTTAGGCAGTTGGCAAGTCCATTCGTTTTTCGAGGCAGGATGGATTTGAACAAGGTTGAGGATTGCATTAAGGGTTATCACTACTAGCAGATTGTTCACAAATGCAATGAAGTTGTTGTTTCATTGCCGGGCCATATTCAGCTAAAAAGCAACTCAGTTTTAGTATGGAATGGAGAGAAGGCCTTTAAAAAAAAAAACTTTACTTCAGATAGCAGACTATTATGGACTGGCACTACTCCTAAGAATACCAACATAGATTCCACCATCCTCTTGGAAGTGTAGTCGTATGATATTGTAATAACTCCAAAAGATTGTTAGTACCCTGTTTCCCTTAAAATAAGAGCTCCCCAGATAATAAATCCAATTGGGCTTTTGAGCACATGCACTGAAATAAGCCCTCCTTGAAAATATTGCAATACAGCAGCAGCCATGAGGTGACTATGCTCACTACATCTTGCATCTCAAAAATAATAACTTCCTGAAAATAAGGCCAAGTGCTTATTTTGGGGGTCAAAAGAAAATAAGACACTGTCTTATTTCCTTGTTCAGGGAAACAAGATATGTGTCTTTTTTGAGGGACGGGCGGAGACTTGGGGTCAGTTTGCTATTGCCTTCTTCATAGGGGAGAAAAAGCAATGGGCCCAAGGTAACCCAGTTGCAGTTGTACTTAAGACGGAACTAGAATTTTTGTGGTCCTAGTTTCTAATTTAGTGCCTTTCCAAATCTTGGAAAACCTGGTAGGTTACCATGGTGGAAGGGAAGACACAATAAAGACCTATCACCTTCTGCATCTACTTGATTTCCAAGACAGGAGATTGCTTGATGTAAATGTTATTGAATGTCCTATAACTGGACATTTTTCACAAAGATACTGGGAAATGGTTTATGTAGAAAGAAGGTCAAGGATGAGACTATTTCTGAATGATTTATCATGTGCTTAAAATTTAGGTATTCATACAGCACAGTTCAGCTACCTGTCCAAGCTGCCGAGAATTACAAGGAGTTGTGAGGCTATTATTCTAGAAAAAAGGGTATAAATTGAAGCAGAGGTTTCCTACTGCAGATGGGTCCTTGATTTATGACTGTCACTTAGCAATCATTCAAAGATCTGAAATATCTACCTGGATGGTACTTATGACATGGATTGAAAGTTCTGACCATCACCATCCAGTGGTCACTTGACTGCACTTTGGATGCTTGCCCACCACACCACATGTACAGACATGCAGGTAGTTCTCGACTTACAAAAATTCATTTAGTGACTGTTTGAAGTTACAACAGCACTGAAAAAAATAATTCATCACATTTACAAACATTGCAGAATCTCAATGCTCACATGACTAAAATTCAGATGCTTGGCAACTGAATCATATTTATGACATTTGTAGTGTCCTGGGATCATGTCATCACTTTTTGTAACCTTCTGACAAACATTCAATGGGCAAGCCAGATTCATTCAATAACTGTGGCAAGAAAGACTGTAATATGGGGCAAAATGCATATAACAAATGTGTTGTTTAAGAACAGAAATTTGGGGCTCCATTGTGGCCATAAGTTAAGGTCTATCTGTATTAGTGGTTGGTTGCAGGCGGTATGACTTGGTACACGTGTACTGATGCCTGCCGGAAGCAGCCACCACCATACTGGAAGAGTGCTGTGGAGGGCCTGCCCACCCGCCCTCCTTCCTTACCTGTATTTGAAGGAAATGAGCCATTTGCACACATGCCCGTAGCGTACGGTGCCTCTGTGATGCTCCACCGAGCAGCTAGAGTGTCACAGGCAGTGGGTGTGCCTGCGTGCACAGCACCACATGCCCATGGTGCATGCCTAGGTCCCAAAGCATGAGCCAAGGTGGCGCAGTGGTTAAATGCAGCACTGCAGGCTATTTCAGCTGACTGCAGTTCTGCAGTTCGGCTGTTCAAATCTCACC